ATTACCATTAATATTACGATTATTATCGTTACTTTTATCATTATTGTTATTGTTATTATTATTACTATTATTGTTGTTGTCCTTCATCTTTCAATTTATTCGTGTTGTTAATATTATTATTGGAAAGGCCGCGACAACACACTCTCCCGCGGAATTGTAAATACAAAATCTCTGTCGCGAATTCCCTTGTCCGCCGTACACTCTCGTTCCGCTATGCTCGCGCGCGCGGTTTACAAAATTAAACACACACGATCGATTCATGTACAAACTTCAATTACCTATCCGGGGAGAAATATGGACAGCGGCCGGTTCTTAGGTGGAAGAGAAGATTGTAGCCGAAGAAAGTGAACGCACAACGTGTGGCCGTGTATTGTCAGCAATATGTCGAGGGCGCCATCTTGACCCTCCCCGTTGCGATCGCTACCCGTGATACCTTCGTCAGCTGCCTCCCTAATCCGTTGTTCCTTTGTGCAAGAAGCACGCCACGCGTCGCCGCCGCCGCAATCCCTTCGCGTTCGACACAGCGGAACACGGGAATGGAACATTCGAATGGTTCGGTCCGGACGCTTAATGTTCAGCCAAGGGCTAAGGCGAAAGAACCGAACGACAGATGACTGAGATCTCGTTTAGCAAACCGAATGGGCTTCCACTTTCGATCTTCGTCGTTGTGTTTCTTCATCGTCGATCCTCTTCCCTCCACCCCATCCTCCTTTTTCCTCCACGATTGTTAAACCGACAGCACGTTACCACCGATGTCTTCTGCGTTCGATTTGCTCCGGTTGGTGGACATCATTCGCAAGGGGGAAGCCGGAAGAACAGCTCGTGGACAGACGTTCTCGGAGCGGATTTGTGTACGAGAGAAGAAAGGGAATGGAAATCAACGACGAATCCAGTTTTCCCCATTTGGCTGTCTCCTCGATACCCCACGTGTCGTTATTTCTACGGAAAAAACAGAGATCAGCGGTTGTGATTAAGAGGGTTCCACGGTGTTTGTCGCGAGGTGGTGTTAGGATACATTTTAGGGTTGAATCGAAGCTCGAAAGGTGGTGCAGAATATTATTTCTTTTCTCCGTGAGTCCTTGCGGTATTGACGTTTCCGATTGATCATGCAGACGATCACGTCTGCGTGCCTTCTCGGAAGTCCTAAATATTTAATAAGTCGAGTCTCTATCATTAAGACGTCTGCATGATATTGGTAATTTATTATTACTATACACACGACAAACGAACCGGTGAAGAATAAGAAACAATAGAGAAAGGAAAAAAATATGAAAATAGAGAATTTAAAAGATATAAGTGGATCAGACTAGGCTGCATATCGCCTTTAAACGACTTACAATTTTTTGGGTTCTGTATTTTTCTATTTTTTCCCCGTATTATTCGTTTTCTTCGCCTTTTCTGCTGGCTTTTTCTGTGGTGTTACAAGGGTCTTATTCTTCTAATTACTATTACCATTGAAAGTAGTTTTGTCAAATCTCATGAATCTTTTAATCTATTCTATAGCCAATTTTTCTTTGAGGAATAGGAAGTCAATGCAGTGTCGTGGCGTAAAATTCATCCAACTCCGTTTTCAAAAAAATAAAAAATTTCTTTTAACAATTAAGGACAAGTTCTATTCACTTTCTTCGCACTACTCTTATTCATTGTTGATGAATATTATCGACATGGTGCAATAGAAAATAAAAAAGACTTTTCCTTTCTATACTTTTAGGACTTCTGAAGACAACTGTAGTTATTTATGTACCGACCTAATGAGAAATTTTCATGATTAATTGTAGTTCGTAAACAATCGCGAATACATCGTATTCATACAGTTTTTAAAATGTTATGCGGTTCCCCTGTAAAGCTGACGGATTTAAAGCAAAACATTCTGCAACGTAACGTTAGGAGAACAAGACTGTATTAAGGAACCGCGTTCCCATTTCTGGCCCCGTCTTGTTAGGAAGGAAGGATTCACCGATAGAGCTCGGGCATCTCAATTGGTTAGAGCAGTCGTGCGGCAAAGTAAAGATCCGGATTCGAATTCCGGACCAGTAATCCAATTGAACGATTCTTTTCCCATCCACATGGGGGTGCCAGATAGGAAATTGGGCGGCCGATGGATTGGGATCAGATGAATTTCCGAGGTACTGCGATCATTCTCTATATTTGTCATTATTAGATCATTTTGCTTTCGCCTATAGTACTGGCAAGAAGAAATGACTACTTACAGAAATTATGTAACGTCATTCAATGACATTGACCCTCGACCGACTAATGATTTAAAAGCAGGCCATCCACGATGATATTGGCGATTTTCTTTCTTTTTCTGCCTACTGAGTCTCAGGCTCTGAGGCCGCTTCATCGTGTATGGCCTGGTTAACCCTTTAACGCCTAGACCCTGAAATCGTTACTTGAAAATTCTGAAACTGATAGATGTGTTGTATCTTATTATTTTGAAGACGAAAACATCGATATTAAACAGACTTATTTTTTCATTGTACAACAGTAGGTTATTTTCTTTTTTTATTTATTTCTGGAGGATATACTTGAATTTCTCATCTGGAAACGTGGAGATCTATTTCACATCAGTGAAATTGCGTATCCGTGCTGACAAAAGTTTGATATTAACCGGTGATAGACCTTTACGCACTTTTGAAATGAGGGCTGCATCGATGCAACACTAGGCGTTAAAGGGTTAACAGTTAGGGTGAGAGAGAGAAAAAACCAATATGGGGTGAATGCTGATCCACGTAAAATTTGTTTGTTTTTTGCTCTTTAGATCTGTTTTCTAAGGCACTACATGGCGTTTTATAATGTTTCTAATACATGGATAATAATATGTAGCTTGCTTACAAAATACCATTATTCAAAATTCACCCTTTTTTTTCATTCGTAAGGCTGTATTATTAAATTATGAATAAAACCGGTGGGATGTCTCGACATGCGCAAACGTTAATATGCCTTAATAAAGGAAGAAAAGATATTTTTTGTCGGAGGGACCACGTTAATTAAATACTTCGTGACTATTCAAAAATTCAATTTTCGTCCGATCACGATTTCCAAATGCGTTCTCCGTTATTCAGGGAAAATTGTACATCATTCCACGGAAATTATCACCGTAAATACGAACGGGCTAATCTCGTTATGTAAAACAAATTAATGTTTCCATACTCTATTAATTTTGCTTTCTACGTGTCTCTCGTGTCGCATGAAGAGTGACGTTACACGATACTCGAACAAAACAATGTGTACACGGCACAGGGAACACATTATTATGAATGTACACGTCGACCTCCATAGAAAATTGATGGATAGTCGTGTTTATTTTTTCCTGAAGTCAGAAATATTTCCACGTGATAAACATTACGTTTCTTCGTTATTTATTGCAATAAAGAGAGACTATAAAATGCACGATTCAGGTCGCGCTAGTAATTCTTAAGTTTGAAATTTCATTGCATCGATCTGGGCGTGGTCATCTCATAATGTAACGTGGTATTAAAATTTTAAATACATTTACTGTTTATTTACATAAATCTTCAGTGTAGTTTCGTGTAGCAGTTCAATGTGATAATGAAATTAGGCGAATTTATGATAGCTGAATTTATAATGCAGAAATTAGGAAGAAAGAATATAATATTTAAAATACTATGATTAATAAAGACTGCGGATGTTATATAATATAATAAAAAGAATTAATGACACTTCACTGGAATTTTTATCGTGAATTTTTAATTCAATAAAATCTATGGTCAGAAATCGAGAATGTTCATTTATATAAAGTGTGTATAAACATCTGCAGTCTGGTAGATAAGCGATAAGTTTTATGTGTACTCTAACTATTCTTAACGTTATTGCTATTTAAGGAGACCTTACCTTTGGCATTTTTTGTGCATTTTTTCGGTGACTTGACCGGGGCAGTCTATTTACTGGACGATTATGTGTGGCGCACGATACAATATGACTATCGTTGCCAAAACCGTGAATAACGTGAAGATGAACAAACAAAGCCTGTAATAAAAATAAGGAAAAATATATTCAGTTACTTCATGTATTATTGTATTTACTCATAGTACGTATGTAAAAGTTATATTTTACAATATTTATGATATGTACGTCTTTACGTTTCTTATGCATTATGTTACGTACATTACAATTATTACATAATGTAAGTGAATATACATATAAGAAATACACGATTCAAAATATTTATAAAGAATTAGTATTTATAATTTACATTAGCTTATAATTTTGGTCAAGAGCGTATTTTTTCAAAATTCCATTTATACTAAGCATTAGCTCATGCAAAGATTGTTTTAATATAAAGTATAGAGGGTGTCTCAGGTCGAGTAGTATAAGCGGGCAGGAGGTGATTTTATAAGCAAGAATAAGTCGAAATAGAAGAAATAAGTTTTTCTCGTTTGAGGTTTCGTTTTCGAAATAACCTAATTTGAAAAAATACTGGATACGGCTGCAATTGGATAGAACTTTGCTAACACGTTTGATCATTGCATTCCGTTTCTACTTACTATCATGATGAACACACGTGTTTCAAATTAATTAAATAATTTTCAATTTCAAGTTTCTCGAGAAGGTAACCTCAAACGAAAAAGTTCATCTTTTTTTTGACATATGTTTTCTTATACAAGGTGCTCCACATAATTGTCGTCACGAAATTTCAGCACTTCCCTTGAACTTTACGAAAAATCTATTTATTATTTCAATGCTGTCTTAGTTCATTTTAAATTATGCCAAAAAACCTTTTACATATGTTCATGTCAGAGTATTTGGGACAATTTTACCAAGTTTCATGATAATCGGAAGGTGAATCTTTTCGGAAGTACATTCAAATATATTGATTATTTTAGTGTTATATCGGTTAATTTTCAATTACGTCAAAAAACCTTTTACATACGTTCATTTCGGAGTATTTGGGAACATTTCACAAAAGTTTCATGAAAATCGGAGTGTGGACCGTTTCAGAACTGCATCCATTTCTTTGAATAGGATGTCGTTTCGGTTCAACATAGACCGCAGTCCACGTGAAGTGTTAAACAGTCGGTGTTCGAAATAAATAAGGGTGCATCGAACCTGTCCACCACCATTGCGGCGAATTTCCAATCGCTGATGACCTCGTCGCCCTCGTCCGCCTTTTTCATACGATCCGTAATGAATCGGAGTTCTTTAAGGATCGTATGCAATTCCTCCTGCATACCGCTAAGTGGTAACGACGCGGACGTGTCCTCGACGGTCGCTGGTCTCCCTGTGGATATCGGTGTACCGAACGCCGACCTACTGTAATACAAATAAACGAAAATTAATGGTCTGTCTGTGATTATGGCACAAGGTCTGATCAAAAAGTTTCCGTGACATTACGTATAAATTCTTTATTCTTAATCCTAACAATAATTACATAAGATCGCTTTTAAAGCAATCTCCTTCAACACCTACATAGTGTTCACGATATTACTAGTCAGCGTTTTTGTCGCAAATAGTGGGTATTAGAAACAAATGAAATAGGAAAAGGTTTTGCAGTTTTCTTATATCGATTTTTTTATATATCCAGTATTTTTCGTGAAACGGATGTGACGTTCAACTTTTTAAACGGAATGGTGTATATTTTTTTATACCATATGTACTGTTAACGATATCGGTACGGCCCACAGATGTAAATAATTTAAAAAGCAAAATAACGCAAGCACGTGCATTATCTCGGACAACATTAGCAGAGGGCATCAAATATATAATTTGTAGAGCTGAAATGTGCATGCATGCACAAGGAAGTCATATTGAACATCTACCCTAACCTTGTCAATAAAGAATACCTGTAAACTGTAAACATATTGGTACGAAATATTCAAAATATTTCTTTTATTTCTGAATTTGTGACCTTGAATATGATCCTATGGTACATTGCTGAATTCGTTTTGACATACATTCTCAAGTGACTTAAAAAACCATATAACATTCCATTTAAAAAATTAAAGTTCACCTTTGTTTCTCGAAAAATATTGCAAATACACAAACTTAATATACGTTATATTATCTGGGTCATAGAAAACTGCAAAATCTTTTCCTGTTTCAGTTTCTTCTAATACTTAATATATGAGCCAAAAACGCTGTCTAGTAATACTGTGAACACCTTGTATACATATAAACTTGATATCTTTCCTCCCAGTTTTCGATAGCTGCGTGATAATCAGATGCCAGAATCAAGTATAGTTTCTCTTGCGATGTTTAGAACGGGTTGCATAATCTGATAGGAGGTTATTTCACATGTAAATAAAGCCTTTATCGTATGATGCTTCGTCTCTGAAATAATCGAATTCGAAGATCTGCTGGATACACGTGCAACTGAAATAGGATTTGCTTGACAGGTTTGTTCGTTGCATTTCATTTCTACTTATTGTCAGAATGAATACATAACATGTTCGATGAATTTTCAAATTCCATAATCTTTGAAACGAAACGCAATGCGATAAGATTTTCTCACTTTCTAAGATAATCGAATTTGAAAATTCTTCTAACATGTTATGTATTTATGCTGACACTAAGTGGATTCGGAATGTAAGGAACAGACGCGCCAGCCAAGTCCTGTTTCAGTTGCATGCGTATCCAGTGGATTTATAAAATCGATTATATTAGAAACGACATTTTCGATTTATTTTCACTAATCTCCTATTCGGTTGTATCACTTGTCCTAACCCACCTTCTACACGTTAAATTAAATATTGAAAATTTTGTTAGACAACTCGTAGATTATTGAGCAAATTGCATTTGTAATTTCTGAGCGTCCTTTGCATTATCGTGTCCGTGAAATTTGTCATCTGGAACATATTTCGAAATAATTTGAACCTATTGTTCATATTGTATAAAAATCTTAACAGTATACGCATATACATATAGGGTGTCTCAGGTAGGGTAGAACAACAAGGCATGAAGTGATTCAATAAAAAAAAAATAAGTCAAAGAAAGAATACAATTTTTTCGGATGATGTTTCGTTTCCGAGATAAATTTGAAAATTTGTTGGATACGCGGGCAACAGGCATAGGATTTGAGTAACGCGTCTGTTCAGTGAAGACCGTTTCTACTTATCGCCAGCACGAATACACGTGATTTAGATGAATTACCATACCAAATTATTTCGAAAACGAAAGCTGAAACAAAAAAATATTTATTCTTTTTTCTCGACTTATTCTTTTTTATAAAATTACCTCCTTCTCGCTTGTACTACCCGACCTGTGACACCTTGTATTAGTTGTACAGGGTTCGGCCGAATAGTATGTAAAAGTGGGCACCACGTGATTCATTATGAAAAAATAAGAGAAAAATTTGCAGTAAAACTTTGATGTTCTCGGCTTAGTTTTTGAGAAAACCAACTTTGAATATGTACTGGATACGCGTGCAATTGCATAGGACTTGGCTAGCGCGTCTGGTCATTGCTTTCCGTGTCTACTTACTACCATGACAAATACACGCGTTTCAGATTAATTTGAAACTTCGAATCACAAAATTTTATTGTATATTTTTGGTTTATTTTTGGTAAATAAATTTCTATTTTATCTCCGTTTCTCTGAATTATATTAATCCACAAAAGTATATCACTGCATGAACATCTACGATCTGCACATCACATTTCTAGACATGGTTTTATGTAGAATGCATTGTGGATCGAGAATTGTGCGCGCTGAATTACATTATCATTCCAGCTATGTTGATTCGAAATCGTGCATGGGTAGCGCCTCTGCTCACTTTCAGCGCATTTACATATCCACGATGTCGAGGTGGAACTCATTATTCGACTGGTCACGATGATCTAAATAATTATACGAATAAATAAATTTCAGGCTTTATTACAAGGGTTCCTGTTTGTTTTAACTGTAAATTCGCGATACAACTTGAATTATTTAAATTTACCTTATAGTTTCTATGATTTTTATAGACATTTCTTAACCCTTTAAGCGGGAAAAGAATTTTCGCGTTGTGGAGTATTCGACTATAAAAAGCTGAACGCAAAATTCCAATTTTCCAACTTAATTGAAACAAAAAGAGTGATTTTTTTCTTCCATTATTATTAAAATTAATTGACACGACGGCCATTTTTATGATGTTAAATTGTATACAAAAGTATAAGCCAACGCGTATATACATATACATATATTCGCTCTTCCCACTTGAGAGGTCAATCATAATACTAGAAAAAGGTTTTCACAGATCATTGTGCTCTTAAACAACTGATTTTCATTTAAATGAACGAGTACTTATTGTTAGCCTCACAAAGAATATTATTGTACTACAATTATGTAAAGTAACAACTAGTATTATGTTATCTGAGAGAGTCGTTTCTTCAGTGACCTATTCACAATTTTGTTGGCATTTCAATGTTGTAAGGAAAATTAAAAGGAAGATATTGAATTGAACGAATTAATAATAAATCTCACAAAATTTGTAAACCTCTTGTATTATTACATCATCCTTTGCATTTCTAACGTCAAAAGATACTGACGAGCAAAGAACGAAATAGTGGTTCTGCTATAGCATGACTTCTACTTTATTTTCTCGGAGCTAAAGTGAAAGGTAAACAAAAGAAGAACAGCAACTGCTGGCGGTTACTTCAATAGTCTTTGTTTCTAACCGAACAATACAGGTTTAGCTGCTACATTGTAAATAAAATATTTGCCCGTGCAGTATTTTTCTTCAATGTTACGGCGTATTGCCTACATTCGCGGCGGAAAGTTCTGTGATATGATTTCGAAAATAATTGAAGAACGTTGGACGAAGTCTGGAAACTCGAAGAGGAATTTTAAAAAGTTATGTTACCTTATGTATCCGGAAGGAGGATTCGCTGCGCTATTTCTATGACGAAAGTCATCGTCGATGTCTAAAACGTTTGCCAGCAAACTTTTGCTACTTCTTTCCTGCAGCTCCATGTCCTTCATCCGGTTGCTCATAAGAATATTTTTCTTCGTGATCTTCTTTCCCGGACGACTCATACGCAGCAAGCATGGCAGCCATCGTAAAAACAATGTTTTTATCTATATGCAAGACAAACAAGAAAACGATTTAAACTAGCATGTAATTACGACGTGTATTCTTAATAGTCTGTTACCCAATTCCTATAACTTCTTGAATTGTACTATATTTCCTTTTGGAACGTGTACAACAAACGATTTTCTTCTTTCTCTTTGTTCTAAAATAAAATCTTTGAACATTAAGAGTACGACAAGAAAAAAAGTAGTAAGTATTTCAACTCGTCTCAAGGGAATAATAAATTCAAGTAATCGATGTTCCAATAAATGTTCGTTTCCTTAACATGTCAAAGATTTATCTAAAAGAGACTTGAGTGACTTTGGCTTTTTAAAAAAAGAAAACGATCACCAACTGTTTTTTCTTTTATTGCTCGCTTCAAACAGACAGAATGTTGTTTGTAAAAGTTTCTGTTACATGAAATTTTACGACAATTTCATATACAGGGTGTAACAAAAATGTTGTAGGTTCCTGAAATGGCTCACTCATGAGGTGATTAGGAACAAATTTTTCCTTAGCAAAAATGTTATCCGAGGCTTTAACAGACTCGCGCGTCAACAAAGCGTCGGATAACATTTTTGTTAAAGAAGAACTTGTTCCAAATCACCTTACGAGTGACCCATTTCAGGGACCTACAACACTTTTGTTACACCCTGTATACACGACATTATTACTTATTCCTAGGCTGTGGATGTATTCACAAATTCACATTTTCCATAGAGTAACTTCAAAAATATAAAATAAAATAGAGATTCACATGTTTCTTTTTCCACTTCGTCTACATCCTATCCGATTTCTCAAATGTTAAAGAAGAATTTCCTTACGATTCAGTCAAACCTTTTCTTTTCTGTGTTTCAGGTATTCATTTGTACCGCAGCGAATGCATAAAATTTTGCAGTCTACTTATTGCATTATGTAGCGAACATTGTGTTCGGAAATTTCCTAAGTCCTAAGTTCGGAAGTTTCCTTCTAGTGGCCGAATCTTCTTAAAGAAATCTGTATCGCGGCACACTTTGCTGTTTTCTTTTTTACTACGTTTTACACGAAGTTAGGTCTCTTACGGGGCTCACTTCCATCCGAACGTAATGGCACTGAAAACTACCACGGGGAATTTTTGCGTAGCTGCAGGATTCTCTCGTCTTTGCTTCAAGTACGTTTCTTCTTGGTTTATGAAACTTCCGGTAATCAACGGTGAAGAGGAAGTGCCAACGCCTCGGAGGCGCTTTAAACTTTCAACGGCTGAAGCACTGTCTTTAACGGCCGTAGTGGCCACCGCGGATAAGGCCGGGGTTTTATGAACAGAAACACGAGCTATTCTTTTCCGTATCCGGCTGGTGAGAATCCCCTTCGCGTTCCTTTTTCAAATGAAACAAATTTCAGAAGCTTGAAAACTCGATTCGGTGGGAATTCTTCCGGATTTTTTATTTGAAATTAAGCTATCCAAAAGGATTTTGTCCTCAGTAAATGCAATATGTAATTAAATGCATCGATATTGTTTCTACAAAGCACATATTTGATTATTTAAATGCGTAATTATTATTTTCAATTAGTTCCTAAACAACAGACTATATTTTACAGGTTGTCTCGGCTATCGTAAGACCGAACACCTAAATATTTCCTTTATTTTTAATAATGTTAAAGGTCACCATAAGTTAGACATACTTGAACGCACCTTAACACATGATACAAGATTTCTGGCGAAAAATACCATTGAACCTGATAAAATTCGAAGATTGAATGACCGTAAAAAATTGTTCTATATACGATACTTCTCATTTGAAACCATTCAAACTGCGTTTGAAACATTTTTCATGTCATTGAAAATAAAGGTGATATTTAGGTGTTCGGTCTTAGCTGAGACACCCTCTATATTACAATATAATTTTGGTACGAAAGTATTTTCAATTATTTTGTTTTAAGGTGGCTCACGCAAAATTTTAATAATTATAAATTTAGTCAAAAATGTATCAGAACATTCTTAAAAGCTTCAACTTTCAATTGCTACCAAAAGATCGCAAGGTCAACGATAAAATTGTTGAAAAAGAAATGTTATAAAACTATCTTTTTAACACGAGCTTTATGGAACTATAGTTTATACTGAGAAGTTAATTACTTCTTATTTAGTTGCAGAAAATTATATTTTCATAAAAAATTAAGTGGGTATAGATTCTTTTACAGAGATTATGGAGGCACGGAAAAAAAGATATGTTAATGATCAAATAAAACTAAAAATTAAAATCAAATTATGCAAACTTATGTTTCAATGCGTTTGTTAGTATTTTATGAGCGCCAACGTCACTTGTTTTCTTTTGGTTTGTTCGACGAACTTTCCAATTTTTTCTTAAAAATTAAGAGAAAAAAATGTTTGTCCTTTCCACTGATTTGTAAATCTTTTTTTCATTTCAATATTTTGAAGTAGTTTAAAATATTAATCATTTAAACTAAATTGGTAGAATTAATGAAAAGTATAAAGCCCCATATGGAACCTCAGCTAAATACGATACCACACGTGTGAGCTACCTTAAGATGCGGGAAACCTTATCTCCATTTACCCGATTCTCTTTGCGAACATAGGAGAAAGAAAGAAACAGGGTGCTAGTAAATATGTATATTACAGCTGAGCGTAGATGATGGTTGAGGAATCTGTAGACCAGAGTGAAAAAGTAAATCTGGGAAAATTTTGTTGAGGAACGTTTCGTGAATAGAAAGAGGGTACTTGAAAGGAGAGAAAAAGTATAGCCCTGATCCGCTCTTTGTCTACCTTTTGCTTGACAATGTACTGCAGAACCATCATTTGCGTTCGGTCTAAAGATAACATTATAATATCGACACAAAACGTTAAATAAAGGGGGAACTATCCTTTTAACAAGCGGAAAGCATACTTGAATTGGAAACACGGTACAGGACTGCAGACGTTTACACACATTCCTGTTTCTGAAAAGTATTCCGCGGAAGTCCGAATCAAAGAAAAATTTGTTTCATCGATTAACACATTCGCCGTCAGGTGTATTTCACTTCTTTTGTGTCTTTACCACTGTGAGTTTCCATTTAAATAATATGCAGTAAATAATCAATAAAAATGAGATTTTTTTGACACTAGTTTACACGGATCGATCTAATAGTCACAAACGTGTTAAGATGATACGCCACCTTAGGATGGCTAAAAATAACTAAAGTTTGGGAATTTCTTCTAGTTTTCAGAGGGCATAAATATAGCTTTTAGCTAAATTCTGCAATTATTCGCTGATTCCGAAACCTTTTCTAGTAGAACATTGCTTGTTGGACGCTATCGCAGGCAAGAACTGACTTCATCTCCAGGGTGTTTGTGCGAACATTGTATAGTCCTTTATTTCCTAAACTATTTGAAATACGAGGAAACTGTGCACATAAAATTGAATGGCACAAGAGGGCTAATTAACAGGTTACGACGTATTTGTTTTAAACTTTATTATTTTAAGTGATATCAAGGTCAGGTTTGATTTTGTAAATGGAATTATAATTTTTTTTTTTAGGTCACTTCATAATATGTTTCAAGTCGATTTCAGCAATCTTTAACGTATATACCATTTCTTAAATAATTTTCAATATACATACTGCACTTTTAAATTTACTGATTTTTAGCGGAAGAAAACCTGTTCGAATAGGAAGCACCGGAGGTGGTCTTGTTAGCGTCTCAAGTGCCACGTAAATCAATACATTTCTCAGTGCAGTATTTCAAAAATAGTATATGTATACATTAAGCTTAATGAATTTGTCTGGAAATGCACTATCAAGTAATCTGAAGAAAAATATATAATTCTATTTAGAAAACCAAACCTGATCTTTATATCTCTTAAAATAATAACGTTAAAGAAAATTCGCCATGGCCAGTTAATTAGCCCCACTTTGCTATTCAGCTTTATACATATAGACAGTTTTCTCGTGTTTCAAATAGTTTAAGAAATAACCGACTGCGTGCTGTTAGCTCGGACAATCCCTATGAACAAGGATAAATTACTTATAATGTAGCGCAAAATTTTGTGATAAATTTTAATGTTCATAAAAATGGCGCCAGTTTGTAACAGACAAACCTCTTTAAAATAAAATTGAATTTTAAAGTTTTTACTAAAACATTAAATAATACAGATATCAAAAAAATTCTAGGCCATACTATAGGTAATATATTCTTATATAGAAATAAAAGCGTATATTTTTATTTCGAACTTTCCAGTCTGTTCGCAATGGCGCCCGGTAATTGATGTTCTAGCAGACGAGGTTTTGGAATCAGCGAATAACGCCAACAATTTGTAACATTTTTACTTTCTTAATATTGGCGAATAAAGCTGCTGGTTACATTCATATCCCCTGAAAACGTGAAAGTAATCATTTAGTAATTACCTATGAAGAACATGTCCAAAATTTACCTGTCTTCAGTCGCCCCAGGGTGGTGTCTACCCCCAACGAACAACAGTGTTAGTCTTACACCAGAGTCTACTGTTCGCTACGCGCTCTATTATCAAATTTTACAGGAGCAATTAATTACCTTTTGTAGGAGTATACAATTAGTGAACCATGTTGGCCACCAATGACCGCATGGCAAAGGTTGGTACGTTTGAACTAAAACAAAACACAAGAATCTTTCATTTACTAGAAGAGTGCTGGGTAAGTACGTAGGATTTTTGAAGACTGTTGAGTTTTGTAAAGATAATGAGCATTTGAAGTAAAACAATCGATTTTGGCCAAAAACTTTTATGCAAGAACGTCTGTAAAAAAGAACGTTATTGAGATACCGAAAAAATCGTACGTATATTCCCAGCAAATTTCTTTTAAAAAATTAAAAGTTCCTGTTGTGTTTTGTTTTAGTTCAACCCTAGCGATCGTGATCGCCGCTATCGCGGAAACAGCCGGTTAAAAACGTGCTTAACAGAATTTGCACCAGCACCACAATTTTGTATGAAAAAAAATATTTTTATATATTTGAACATTATATATGTTACAGGCTTCACAATTGATTTCCAGTTTACTTTATTGTATTCCCAGCAAAAATTCACTTTACCTATGATTTTTAAGCGGTCAGGGTGGACTGGCGCCTTATGTTAAATAAAACAAAACAAGTTAAAAATTGTCGCTGGCTTGAATTAAATTTGTTTGATTACAGCGCGTTTTACGGACACGCGTGATTCCTGAACGCATAAAATCCGTAGTCTACATATTAGATTTGATGGAATTTCTTACCCATTGCGGCATTACGTATCTATCCGGCGACCTGTGATGAAAGTTGAGCACCATCACCGTCAGAACTACGCTGCTCGCCACCATGAACATGATGCAATTGAAGTACGACCCTGAATTCGGGGTGTTCCCGAAGATCCCCCGAAGAAAGAAACACAGAAATGAGGCGATTAGTCACGGTAATGGATTGGGGATCCGCTCAATTAGTCGGTAAGAATGAATGAAAGACAGCGGGATATCACGGGGACTTAAAAGAGACTGTACATTCGCAATTATCGTTAAACACCCCCGTATTCTATTCAGAGTTTCACCCCAGGTGATCTTTTGTTCGTTCTTACCGACTACGCTCGTTTCCCATTCACACCGAAATGAAGAATCGTGAAATACAATCTTCACACTCGCGCAGCATTCGTATTGACAAAATAGCAGACACACATAACAACTTGGCTTTCTGTCACATCAGTCACAGAATTCTACACACACATACTCTACACAGTTATAAAATAAGAGATTTACGAGGATTTCGACGTGAAGTTTGATTAAAGGTAGAAATTTTTCAGAAAGCTAACCGTAGAAATTATTAAGGAATTGTATTCTTGCACAATTTATGTAGCTCTGTGTAGCTGAAAATTTTTATCTCGTGAATTACGTTCACAAATTTTATAACACGTTTGCATCTGTAAGATACGAATAGTTAAGGGCTTTTATAGCGTCTGAAAAATTAGTATCTATGCTAAGTAGTTCTTGAATCGAACGATTTCTTTGTAAAATCGATATACACTGTATATGTATATATAATCTGAAATGACTTTGAGAAGCGTGTATTTGTACAAATCATCCGCAGTCAAAGTGTTACTCTCTAAGAATCTTCGGGTAAAAAGTTCAGACTCGACGTCCTATCGATTCTTATTTGTCAGAATAAACGATTCCATAAAATCTCTTTACTCATTCGAGGATTTCGTGTGATACCAAACAACTGTGTTTCGACTGATGTGACCGATTCTACGTTCAGCGAGTAGAACACCGATTTAGTCGAAAAACTGAAGGTATGCAGGGTGTTAATAAAAATCTGGGTCAGTTTCACAAGGAGGATTGTACATGATAAACTAACAAGTAGTGTAAGAGGAACATCAAGAATAACGAAATTACGTTTGAAGCTTCGTTTCCGAATTATTAATTGCTGAACATATGGGGCGCAATACGCGTAAAATACGTCTGAACGGTTATTCTATTTGAGAGGCACGTTTTTCAACTGCTTCACGAGTTGGTTTCATTCATTTCGTTTTATTTCATTCCTTAATTTTACTATGTCATCGGTCGAGCCTGTGTACCAGCTGCGAATCGGCTGTTCAAGTAGTACAACCCATCTCATCGACCGCATTTGACTCGTGTTTTGTCCATATTTTCAGTAATTAATAACTCGAAAACAAAGCCTCGGACGCGATTTCGTCATTTTAGATTTTCGTTTTACTAGGGAACTTCGGTGTTCCGAAAATTCTGATTTTTTTTTAAAACTCCACATGTTTGTAGGAGCTCGCAATAGAAGTATCGGGAAATTTGTCGTTTTTGCTGATATTCGTTTCTTCAGGAAGAAACCATCCCTTAAATATAACGTGTTTTCCTATTCTCCTGTAGGTACCTATATCTTGACAACTATAGTAGATACCAAAACACTGCGAATCAAAATTTAATGACTTCTTATGCTCTCTAAATTTGTGCGATAAGACTGTTAAACATTTGTCGCTTAAATAATCAAATAAATAAACAAATTTTTCACAATTTCATCTACAGTTTTATAAAGAATATAAAGCCATTAATATTATCATTCTAACACTTTTTTTTATAACTAAGATACTGTTCAAGCTATACAGGAAAATACGAAAACACACACGTTAAGGGGTGGTTTCACCTGGAAGGACTAAGAGTATCAACAAGAATGAAAAATTACCCGTTGTTCCCATTCATGTTCCCTACAAACCCCACAGATTAAACAAAAAAGTCGGAATGTTCGGGGTATGGAATTTGTTACTTAGAATCCATCCCATGAATGTGTCCCGCATTTTCATTAACACCTTGCAGGGTCTCCCAAAATAGCTTTGACTCCCGGAAATGAGGGGTTCTTGGGATGATTTAAAACAACTTTTTCCTTAGCGAAACTGGAAGCCGGCTGAGCTCTGATTGATCAGGGTTTTTTCGTTAATATCTCGTTAACAAAGCCTTGGATAGCTAACATTTTCGCTAAGAAAAAGTTGTTTTACATCATCCCAGGAACCGCTCATTTCCGGGAGTGAAAACTATTTTGGGACGGACACCCAGTATTCATCCCTCTGTGTACCAATTATTCGGGTAAAATGATATTCCGTTATACAGGGTACAAGAATTTCCGTAGCGTGTCGACAATCAGCAGTCGGGTAATTAAGGTCTGCATAATTAGTGTCCGAGTAATCGATGTTCTTCCGCAACACGTGTACTACACATCCACGCTCACGTCGATGTTCGAGCGACGCTATAGGGGATGGGGGTTCATGCAAGAAAGGGTACGGGTGGCCTAGAGAATAAGGTGGCCTGGCCCTCTCGTTCTTGGACCTCTCGTTCTCGTAGCTCGCGACTACGGTTGAGAAATGCACGCATACACACACACACACACACAGGACAGCATACACACACGCGCGCACGCACACATGTTTCACGATTATTTCTTCGCGCATTTATTCGACGCCACCGCGAGGCCGCGTTTCAGTCGATTCATTGCGGGATCGTTCCTTGTTACAGCGTAGGGTACATAGCCGTCGAGATAAAGAAATAGAAAGAAATTAGACGGCGGGAAGAACGAAAAGAAAGATCGTAAAAAAGCGCAAGGTGTACAACTCGGTCGTAGCAGCTAGGTGAAAGACCACATCGAGCTAGCCTCGGTGCGGGTAACGAAAACAGAGGAAGCGTACAACGTACTTTGCATGCTCGTGTACACGTCACGGGAAAAACGAAATATTTCATTCGGTGTTATTTCGATTTTAGGTTCCATCGTGGGCTCGCTGAGACCATCGAGAAAACTTGTTACAGCGCCCTCTTGCGCGGTTTCATGAGCATTTCTTGGGAGTTTTACGATGTTCCCAATTACGTGCACGAATTTCTAGATTTATTTTCCTTTGAATCTTTGTATGCTTTTGTTATGCAATATTCGTAAGACCGCGTGTGCGACAATTTTTCTCTCCACATTTCTCAATATCTCCCCTCCCTCTCCCCTTCTCTGTTCAAGTTAACGCATAGCTTCTTAAGCGGTTAAATATTCGCCGACGAATAACAAGCAATACGATCACGAAGATTTTTGTATGTTTACAAGAAATCGAAGGCGATTCTCTAACATTCTTCATCGTTTTCTGAGGGAAAAGAACAAGGCGAAAGATGTTTTAACTTCAAGATAGAAGGTGATTCTGGCAACTGTGTCAGGCTGTAGCTCTGTTTCAAGTGAAGTTAGAAAAAAATCGTAGAGGAAAAATTTGCATCATGTAATTAGCTTCATTATCCGATTGTATAATTTTGTTCATATTGCAATTGAATTTTTTTTCAATAGAACACAACTTTTTCTGCATAAATTTATTTCCTCGTGTCATTCGGCGTAGTAATGTCATTGGGAACGTAATGCTTTACTAGATATTTTATTATTTTTCGAAAACTTAGAGCAATTGGTTAAATCTTTCACCATCTAAACATTTTTTAATAAGTTCCTTTACATTGTTCAGCTGTTCAGTATTCATGTTTAAACAATTACTTTTAATTCTTTCCGTTAAATCATTTTTTAAGCATGAGGTTTTGAATACAGCATATTTTTTTTTAGAAAACCCCACGAAAAAATCAAAAGAATTCAAAAGCAGGCAAACATGGTGACCAAGACGTTGGATCGAGGGTGCCAAACCATTTTTTGTTTCAATGTTAAGCAACGCAAACAGTATGTAAGGACAAGAGAATTATGGTAACCTTGTGTCTAAATATGTCTGTAAGTACGATGTTAGTAATTGCGATTCAACGCAAAGTATTGTGTATTCATTGACCTTGCCTTACACTTTTTATAGGAAGAATATCACGAAGAATCAATTGATATAAAAAAAAATCAGCGTTCTATTTAAAAAAAGCAGCGCAATTGCATTTTGCAAATACACCGACACACCTGCGAACAAAATAATGGAGTCGCATGATAGAGATTGTTAAACAGTGTAAAATTTTCCTCTACGATTTATTTCTAACTTTAATTGGAACAGAGCTATAATCCTGGTCCAGTTACTAGAATCATCATGTATACCATCAGTTAAATTTACTTTTCAATATTCGTACGCTAAAAGTGACTTTTCAACATTCGCACGCACATTTGGCCGTGGCACGAAACGTTAAGGGCCGTCTTTGAGAACGGGTCTCCTCGAATTTGCTGCAGCGAGGTGCAAACACAGACGGTGATTCGGCAGGGACGCGTTTAACACATTGGCATGCAGCTACGGAATGCAATTACGACCAGGATGCGTCGTGCGTATCAAGCCACAGATATTGTTACACGTAGTATCTATGCAGCATGCGTATCAAGAGAAGCGTAGAATTTATATACATATATAGAAAGGTACCAAGCTGCTGGCAGGCTAATAATCGCAGTAAATTGTGCCATACATGTTTTCTCGCCGAGGAAAGCGTTGTGTACTCATTGATGCAGGTACGCGACAGACTTACTGGAAAAGTTGTATACTATATCCTCGATCAACAGCATTCTATAGTCGATGTGGTTGTCTGAAGAGTTATCAGTATGGTATAGTTTATCAGTATTTGGTATAGTTGTTATCGTGTACAGACGAAAAGATTTTCGTTTTGCATGCTGCTTCTTTCGATGACGTTGAAGAATATTTCGTGTTAGTGTTGCTAAGAGATCGATAGCGATGACTGAAATTGTTTTCAACAAGAATATTGTCGTTTTAAAGTAACGGTCATAGATTTGCGAATCTGTTGATATTCGTGTAAGAATCAGGATAATCATGAGTATTACGGTGAATGATCAAAATCGATCGTTAATCCGTAAGGCTGTGATTTATAAAAAAGAAAACTTTATGTTACTG